ATTATATACTATTAGTTATATATATATATATATATATATATATATATTATCATAACAGTAAATTTGTCAAATCTTTCGATATTTTTTTCAAAACCAAAGATATATACATATAATTAAACAAATATAATATTTATGTTAATTGAATAAATAATATATTTTATATAATTATTATCGTATTTACTTATATTTAATAAAATTTTCTTTGTTCTTTATTTATGTAACCCATTCTTCGAGATCCTTCAGATAAATTATTATTTAATAAATAATTCAACAAATGCAAAATCTCTGATTTTGTTATCGATCATTTTCAATTTTAAGCTAATAATTTTCTTGTTCTCTCTCTCTCTCTTTTCCGCTGGTCTTCACGATAAATTATTCATCTTGTAACACGTATTCTCTCTTATCTTTCCGAGTTTTCTTGGCTATTACAACATTTTTTTTTTTCAAACTTAACAATCAATTCAATTTTATCTATAAATTATATCTATAAAAAAAAATTTTTTCACACAGTATATTTTCCTTTCTATATTAAATCTTTACCGCTTCTAATTATTCTACTTTTTTATCTTTAAGAAAAACACGTTATTTCAATTTTAATTCCAATTAATAATTTCGAGATTAATTTATACAAGAAAAAAAAATCCATATCCAAGTATAAAATTATTCTTCCAAGAAAAGTAAATAGAATTCCGTTTTCTGGTTGTTTACGAGAAAAATATCAATACAGCCAATCGGGAATTTCATGTTTAATTCATCGTTTTATTAACAGAATTGTAAAAAAGTAAAGTTTTTTTGTTGGTATACCTGCTGAAACTCAACAGTTTGCATTCCAAAGAGCAGCACAAATGGCTGGTCGATAATGCAGCGTGAAACGCGAGTCAGGCACAATAATTAACCAGGAATCCCACTGCCATTTGTGACCACGAAAATGGCTGAACTCGACCGCTATGGGGCACTGCGGCTACGTGGACACGGACCTAACCTAAATCCCATTGAATCCTATGGCTGGCTAAACGGTATCGGTACAAATTGCCCGAGCCCTCTGACTATCTGTACAATCTCTGTACGGGACGTGGAATTTGAACGGGACAATAGATAAGTTGAAAATATGAAAAAACGATCGAACGATTAAACGATCGTTAAAAATATTTGAAACGTATAGCACGAGGTATAAATGTGAAAATTTTAAACATTCAGTTTAAGTTGTATAAGTAAGGATTAGTTACTTAGATCTGCACAATTCCACGAAAATATTGACTTTTGAATTAAATTATTATAAGAATAGCCAATTGAGGATATAAACTTCGGGAAAATTCTAATTTTGCCTATCGTTGTCACGTCAGTGGGAGCTATAATAGCTTTGGAACACCCACTGCATTATGCTTGAAAAGTGATAGCACCGAGTCTTTAAATATATTTACCTCCACCCACGTCTTTCGTGTCAAAATCTAGTTTTTTTTTTCTTTTTATCAGTGACATTTACGTAACTACGTATGAGATAGCAAAAAAATTTTTTTAACGATATAAAATTATGACAAGTTTGTGAATACTTGTGAATGACCATTTCATTTAATTTAATTGCGAATACTCGATAGTTGATTTGTATTCATTGGATATTTTCTTGGATCGATAATTCATTTTAAGGCTTTATTAAAAAACTTTTAGAAATTGCATTAAACTTTAAATTTCTATTAAAAAACTTCGAGAGTGCATTATTTTGCTTACATACGATAATCAATAACTTTTAAAACCCCCTATATATTCAAAAATAATCAATTTCCGATAACCAATCGCCCTCAAGACACTTCGATGTCACTTCTTTCTATATCGCCAATCTATAACAGCATTTCTCAACCTTCCTGCATGACCAGTACGTTAATTCATGCATAGCACCACGATTATCGAATGAATTGAATGTTTACAATAAAATTAAAAATTATAAAAGTTTAGTAGATTGCAAATAAAATAATATTTAAATGTGTTTCGAAATTTTTACGATTTCGCGATTTACAGAAAATTTAACGCGACTCAATATTCAATCTTGACCCATAAATCGAATGATGCTGATTTACAAAATTTGTAATATCCTATATTTAAGCTCATTATATAAACATATAAAAATAATAAAATTATATTTGGAATTTTTATGAATAATCAAGCAACTTTCACGATCGTGATGGTAAAAAAATTTAACAACATCAATATTCAATCTCGACTCATAAATCGAAATGATCTACAAAATTTTTAATTTTTTTATGGAATACCACATCTCATCACTAATCTCATGGTAGATTTAGATTATTATACATTACACAAATAAATAAAGTTATACTTATATTTCGAATAGGCAAGCAGTTCTCCTAACCTATAAAAAATTTATCATGGCCCAATATTCAGTCTCATAAAATCGAAAGATGGTGATCTATAAAATTTATAACACTCTAGTACCAATCTAGTACTTACATCGGAACCATAAAATACCATACAAACAGATAAACATATTTGTACGTATTTCGAAGAATCATTTGGAACAATCGACAACAACAACTCTCATTTCGCAATCCAATGAAGTTTTAATGGCGCTCCATGAATGGAAAAATTGATCCACAAAATACTCTATACCAACTTGACAGAATTCGTATATCGCATAAATAAATAAAATTATCCTTTCCAATGTTTAATCGTGTCTCCATAAAAAACGGCAAAAATCTACAAAATTCCTGATAATATCTTTACGAGCGAAACTGCGGGAGATTTAAATATAACTGACGAAAAAGGAGAAGAAAAGAGCACGTTTACGAACGTGACTGCTTAGAAATCGCTTTCAAGGCCCTTGTCAGTGAGCACGACAGTTTCACTAGCACACATAACCTATCCACAGAGCGGTATCGCGCCTTAATATCGGCGTGACGGGTGCACGCATCCGCGCGTGCGCGCACCACCCGAGAGGCGCAACCTGCAACCTGCGCGCTATTACATAACGCATCATTCGGAAATGCGCGGCGTCTATGCGCACGAACAGGGTGTTTCGAAAGTAGTCGCGCCACTCGTCTACCTATCGCATCTACGACCGCAAGCCTCGTGGTTTTGGGTGTTCAACGCGCGGTTAATTATAGACCGAACGCAATACTCGTGTCGTGGGACTCTATATGTAGATACGAGGCTCTAAGGGTGATTAGAATAAGTCTGAATGGAAATTGGGACGGAGGAACACCGTTTCAATTACGTTTTCATATCTTCGTAGGTTAGATTAGATTTTTTTTTTTTTTTACCTCTTTTTTGTACGCGAATTGTTCGGCTTAAATTTGTACTTTTATGATTTATTAATAATTTAATGTGTTGTAATCAATATGCGTTGTAATAAAGGCTTTTTCAATTAAACAGATTGACAACATAGTTTTTTTCTTTTTTTTTTAATTCGTTGATCGTAAATAAGTCGAAATAATCAAGTAATGAGCTTTATCAAATTTGATTAAATATTATTTGTAACAGAAAGTGAAATTTATATATTAATGTTGAGATAATAATTTAAAGCGAAATAGAAATTGTTAATTTTCATTGATTTCCAAGATCTCTATATTGCATTAATTTCGGAAAATGAGTTAGTAAAATAATTCTTGCGAGAATATAAATTCTTTCGTTTTCACTCGTTGTTAAAAATGTAAGTATTTGTCAAAGAGTTTTAATTTTTAATGATATTGATGTCTAAATATTAACCTCTGGGTGGAGCTGGTGGAGCCCTCTTCGGGGTATCGTCGGCAGAGGGCGTTCTTTCCCTCATGCTTTCCAATGTAACCCCTTAGAGCCACCATTTAAACGAATCCGCGTGCCACGTCTTCCTGAAACACATCGATCAAAAAAAATGTTAAACACTTATTCTTTCAATAATCATTCAATTAATTAACTTAACAAAATAGAATAATTCTTTTTTTTTTTTTTTTGATTTATTGAAATAACGCAATACTGCGTACTTTCATATGTGAAGATTTAAAATTACTATTGTAATTTCCTTGACTATAACTTTTTACTGCACAAATATTTACTTAATCCATCGTCTATACGATTATATAATTCACGAATTTTTGCCGGAGAATATAACGTTTCTAATTTATTTTTTCACTAAAAAATTAATTTTTATTTCGTGTCATATTCTAAAATGGAATACAATGAAAAGTCTCGAATGTTAAGAAATCAGTCAATGCAGATATTCAATGGAATAATTTATGACCTAACTGTATTACGATGTATATTGTACTTCTACGAATCTATGATTCATCGAGGCGTAGAATATGACGAATTAACTACACTCAAAATGTAATTTCCATTGTCAATTTATTTGCAAAATATTTTCTAATATTTTATCGCATATATATAAATCGAATAATCACGATCCACTTGATACAGTTCCAATAAGTACGAAAGGCAGAGGAGTTCTGTGCATTATTCGATGAACGTAAAAAAAAAAAAAAAAAAAAAAAAAAAATGGCGGAGGACCTCGTATAATTGAGTAACAGTATCGTGCAGGTGATATGAGGTGAAGAATTGCGATACATATGCAAGACGACTAAGAGAGTTGGCTGGATCTCTTCTTGTATCGTCGAGATCGCATAGGAACAACTTATAGAGGTTCTCAACCTAGAAACCGATCTCAACTGGAAATTGAATTATTCATAACAGCATAAGATAAGCAATTCTTCTTTAATCATGAAAACTTTATCAGATCTTCAACCTGCGTAAACTTTACACATATTTGTGTATCCTAACAAAACAATATGCAAATTACTCCACTCTACTACCATCTCCCCGTTTATATTCGCTTTGCATTGTAATTTATTCCAGGTTGATTCTAATTTTATTCTTTGAATTTTTACTTGTTTCCTTAATCGTATGATTAATTCAAGAATTCTTCAAGGGAAAGGATAATATTTGCTGTACACAAATTTGGCAAAATGTAGAATTAAACGACAATTCAATAAAATTAGAAGGAAACCCACGTTTTCGAGATTAAATTAATTCTTTCTTCTGCATCGCATGGGATCAACAATTTTAACCTAACCTCGTGCTTTATAATAGCACGATCGGAGTACACGTATGTAAAATTTTTTTCTCAATAGACTATAGCAGGCCATCATGTTTTGGAGAGATAGTGATTAATTATTTTGCGGATAACACGAGTATTTTTGAATGTATATAATTATAATATATATATATATATATATATATATATATATATAGTAGACACACGTAGGAGAAGTAAGTAAGTAATTAATTT